GAATTTCCATGTGGCAATTCCTCTCATTTCGTATGCATTCCCTAATTTTCACAGTGAGCATTCTATACCTCTGCGTTTTTCCGTACCTGCAATATGGGATGCTACCTACCTGAGGAATATCTTTCCAATGACATCCCTTTGGTATCCTCGGGGTTCCCTCGCAAGGCAAAGGGTGGGGCAATGTTGCAGGGGTATTCGATATAGCAGTAGCAATGGCAAGAGGAAAAATTATGATAATTGGGGTTATCACAATTAAGAATTTCAGTGCTGTAACTAACACCTATATGCCATAGCTTAAGAGCAAGAGCTTAAGAGACCCTCCATTGCTTATCGTTACCGGGTGTGGGTGTTGTGGTTTCCTCTGGAACATCCGTTGAGAGATAAAGTACACAGCTGCTGTGATAGTATATGTAGTACACGCTGCACTAGAGACGAGGCAAAAGTCGAATAGTAACCAAGTCTGTCACTTGGCTTCTGGTAAACTAACCGTCTCCTTGCTCACCACTTCCAGTGCTTTTTTTCCGAAATATTATACTTTATCTTTATACCGTTATTATTGTTATTGCTATTACCCTTATCACTATTATTATTATTAATATAATCATTCGTATTGTTATTATTATTATTATTTTGATAATGATTATGTAGATAGTGATTATTATGATTATTATTCTATGATTATTGTTATTTTGTTATTATTATCATTATCATTTATTATGAGTTATCATTATCATTACCATAATATACATTAAAAAAAAATGTACAGGACTTCCTCGTGACTGCTTAGGTCAAGGGTCAAACAGCGAACGAGAATGTTGATACCATTAACGAAAATGATAATAATGAAAATGATAATACAAGGGAGTGGCTGCTCTGTAAGTGGGTATCAAATATGCTAGGGATACACCTGTCAGGCTCGTGTGGTAAAGAGGTTCGGTTTCTGAACGTTTAATCACCGAATTAACATCGATAGTTCCGAGGAGATTAAGTGCTTTTCTCCTACACTTATACGTGTA